TCTGTATCGAGATGTCTGTATAATGCCGATATACGTTACAGAAGACAGTAACGCTAACTCTGACAGTGCATGGACAGGCGAAGCAGAAGGCAGGAATATTGAGGGTGTAGCACAGTTTTTAATATCGACTGAGACAGGCTACATTTAATAAAGTACAAGTTAAATGCAACCAGTACCTACGACTGCGCTCTAATTTTCACTGAGACCTGGCTTTCAGACAATGTCCCAGAATCTGCCATTCAGCTACAGACCCACCCCACCCCACCTAGCCCCCCATTTGAGGGTAGTCAAAACCCTCAGGAACATCAACCCCCCGCCCAAGGCGGCAGGGCCAGACAACATCCCTGGGCGGGCTCTGAGAGCATGTGCCAACGAGCTGGCTGATGTTCTCACCTCCATCTTCAACCCTTCCCACAGCCAGAGCATCGTTCCCTCTTGCTTTAAGACCACAACCATCATATCCCTCCCCATGAAGAGCCCAGTCACCTGTCTGAATGACTACAGGCCAATTGTGCTCACTCCAATCATTATAAAATTTTTTGAGAGAGTGATGCTGGCCCACATTCAGAGCAGTATACTGAACACCTTGGATCCCCTGAAGTATGCCTATCGGCCCAACAGGGCCACCTCAGACACTGTCGCTGCCACACTACACTATTCCCTTTCTTACCTGGAAAATAGACTTCTACATCAGTACACTCTTCATTGACTGGTTTTGTTAGAAATTAACCCAGTTCTTTTGTTGGAAGGATGAGAAGTGAAGACAGGAGAGGACTGTTTAAAATCAATAGAAAGTTTACTGAAAGTCTGATCACAGGAAAGCCTTACAGTGCTGGATTCAGAGAGACGGAGCTCCCGCAGGAAAACCGGCTTCTGAATCCCAAATTAAGTTCTTACAATACATTTTATCTTCTTGGGCTGCTCCGCCCTGGACAGGGGTGCAACCTTCAATAGGTCGTGATCCTATTGGTCATTTGGTGTGAGCCAGAGCTTGCGTTCCCATGTTGGAATATGGTAAATCTAGGTATGTGTGTGTGTCTCAGGTGGCAGTTTGGTCTTGATCAAGCGCACAGAACAATGGGTGGTCTGGGTTGCAGGCCCCCTGTGTGTGTGATGCTAATAAGTATGCTAAACTGGCCAAGTGCTCATCTCAGGTTGTGAGTCCCCCGTGTGTCGAAGACACCCCCTGGTAAGGCAGAACTTGGGATATGCTATGTGGGTCTAGGTGTGGGTGTGAAACGGGCTAGCAGGGCTCTGTTAAAATGTAAATAGGCTATCTGGTCACAAAGAGATGCAGACATCTAGTATCTACAGAAGTTACAGCATTCAAAGTAAGCAGATTCTACTTCATAACAGTTCTAAGATATATAAGCAATGGAAATAAATGTATTAAAATAACCAAAGCTCAGTAGTTCTGGACAATCATCAATACAGCTGTAATATATATAGACAATGAAAATAAAGTTATGAAAAGTAACTAAAGGGAACTACAGGTATGAGAAGTAACTAAAGCTTATAAAGTAACTAGAGTCTATAAGACTCAAATCTTACAGTCTGCACCCTATCCTCTCTGACTGGCTCCTGGACTTTCTGACTGGCAGGTCCCAGTCTGTCAGGATTGGCAACAGGACCTCAGTCAGCATCACTACAAACATTGACACTCCACAGGGATGTGTCCTCAGTCCCATCCTCTACACCCTGTTCACCCATGATTGTGTCGCCTCCCACAAGGATAACATCATCCTAAAGATTGCGGATGACACTGCAGTGACAGGACGCATCACTGCCGGGGACGAAGCAGCCCACAGGAGGGAGGTGGCCGGTCTGGTGTCATGGTGCAAGGACAATAATCTCAGTCTCAACACGGACAAGACAAAGGAGATGATAGTGGACATGAGGAAAGAGAGGAGATCTCATCGGCCACTGTTCATCCGGGGGCTCGAAGTGGAGAGGGTGAGCAGCTTCAAATACCTGGGTGTCCACATCAGTGAGGACCTCACTTGGACACATAACACCACACAGCTTGTCAAGAAGGCCCAACAGTGGCTGTACTTCCTGAGGAGGCTTGGCATGTCACCTAGGATCCTTTGCAACTTCTACAGCTGCATCGTCAAGAGCATCTTGACCAGCTGCATCACCGTCGGGTGTGGCAGCACTACTGCTATGGATCTCAAGCACCTGCAGAGTGTGGTAAAGACTGTGGAGAAGATCACCAGGACTCCACTGCCCTCTCTGCAGAGCATTTACCACTGCAGAGTTCACAGAAAAGCTGCCTCCATCCTCAAGGATCCCACCCACCCCAGCACAGACTGTTCACACCTCTACCCCTCGGCTGGAGGTACAGGAGTGTGAAATGCAGGACCTCTAGAGTGAAAAACTCTTTCTTTCCCACGGCCATCAGACTCCTTAACAGCTGACAGGAGTATACAATCAGGACTTACTTCATGTAATTCCACCTGTACTGTTTACATTCCAAGTTTGCACATGTACATTTGCACACTCACTGCCACCTAGTGCACATACAGCTCCGATGTAGCATACGTTCTCTCTTTATTATATTCTTTATATTTTTTTATTATATTTGTTTCCACTTGCTGTTTTTAAGTGCCTTTAGATTTTGTGTACTATTTATCTATCTTATATTTCACCTTGTATTGTTTGGCATTCATTGTGGACAGCTTAGTGAGAATTTCATTGTACAGGGAAACATGTTTCCTTACTGTCCACATGACAAACACTTTGAGTCTAAGAGTCGTGTGTCTCTCGTCCTTTTCATGCATTTTTGTTAAAATTCATTTTTAAGATTTTATCTTCCCATTATCCCCAGGGAAACACATTTCCTTACTGTGCACATGACAATAAACACTTTGAGTCTTAGAGTTTGAAAGCTTGTTCAGTCCCCCAACACTCACCATAGTGATGGCATCATTGAGCAGCGACTCCCCGAACACAAGGATGTACAGCAGCTCACTGATACAGATCTCCTCAAACATGGCCAGGATGGCGACAGGCTCCACAGCAGCGATGATGGAGCTGAACAGCAGGCAGGACAGCAGGTCCACACGGCCCAACTGAGCTCCCTCAATTTGACACATGCTGTACATCTTCTGATAATTCTTTTCACTCCACTGTCAGAAATCTTGCGAAGAGCACCTGGTTGTGGCCAGTTTGTGGTGAAATGATGTTCTTTCCACTTCTGGATTATGGCCCCAGCAGTGCTCACTGGAACAGTCAGAAGTTTAGAAATCCTTCTGTAACCAATACCATCAGTATGTTTTGCAACAATAAGATTGCAAAGGTCTTGAGAGAGCTCTTTGCTTTTACCCATCATGAGATGGGATGAGATACTCTATTTTTTTTGTGTGACACCTTGGTAATGAGACACCTTTTTATAGGCCAGCAGTTGGGACTGAACCAGCTGATATATATTAATTTCCACTGGCAAGGGGCAGGATTGCTTTCTAATTACTGATAGATTTCAGCTGGTGTCTTTGCTTTCAATACCTTTTTGCAGCTCCCTTTCTTCATATGTTCAATACTTTTTCCTTTGTCATTCCATTTTATTACACATAACTTACTTTCTGAATTAAGTTATTTGTTTTGTTTTCTGTGTCTGTATGGATTACTTGGGTTGTTACCGACATCTGGTGAAAATTTCATGTCAACAGCACCTTTAGAAATATATTTACTGAGGAAAATAGTGTGTTCAATACTTATTTTATCTGCTGTATTTTACCTCCTGCTGCCTGCATTTTGACCAGAGGATGTGGAGCAAAATGACCTTCCTCTTGTTTTCAGGAGGAGGCCCTCCTTGTGATATTGAGTTATATCTTTCTGAAATAATTACAGACTATTTAGAGTGATGATGGGTGCAAAGCCAATCTAGAGGTACCGAAAATTAAATGGCTGGAAAAGAGCATGCTATGGGCACTTTAAGAGACTGCAGACTCTTTATCGTTATATCCTTTGATATGGTGTGCTTAAGGTGGTATGGTTTGACATCTTTAAGATGTCAGGCAGGGAGTATTCACGCCTTCATATATTTCATACTGATTTGTTCAAGTATGAAGTCAGTTAAAGCAGATTTAGCTGAAAACTAGTGCTTTACTACTCTACTGGTATAGCTTTACTATTCCGTCCAGTTTCCATGACCAACACTCCCATCTAGTGGTAGAAAAAATTGTTACACTAAGTTGTTCTTGATAACCATTGCAATTTGAGCATTCTCAGTGGCCAGATGTGATGAGTATGCCACTGTTCTTTTCCTTTGTCTGCTGCCCTTAATACAGGATCATCTATAATTTCACTGCTAGATAATTAAGTTTATTATATCTTCTAGCTTTATTTAGATAGGTTTATTGAGTGTCATCCTTTTATACTTCCATTTACATATTCGAGTAGCATAAACAAACTGAAAGCTGGTCACTTAGCTTGGTATGATGTTAGCCATGTGTGCATGCAGTAAAATTATTTTACATATGATTTATTTCTTGTTTTTTTTCCCTGGCTGTTACATTTTACAAAATGTGGTTTCTCAGTAAAACGCTCTGAAGAATGCAATGTGGTGTCCTTACTGGGGCCAATTTTTAGCTCACTGTCTAGGCTATGTATACATAGATGTTTAGCTGAGGGCAGAAAAGTGATGGAGGGTAGAAAGGTACTTGGCTTGTTATGTGTACTGGACTTTCATGGCACCACAAAAGCCTACTGTCTGGATGATTTTCAGTCTTTCTCTCTCCTCTATCCACTCACCCCAACTGGCAGAAGGCTACCCACCAAGATCTGGGGTCTGCTTGAGGTTTCTTCTTTTAAACCGTTTTTCTTCCCCGTTGTTGCCGAGTACTTGCTCAAGGGGAATTCGTTGGGTTTTTCTTATAATATAGTAAGGTCTAGACCTGATGTAAAATGCCCTGAGACAATTGTTGTTGTGAATTGGCACTATACAATTGAATTAAAAGGCAACAAGACATGGCAAGCAAAACAACAAACAGTCAAATGCTGAGCAGTTTGATGTGGCCAGCGTGTGCTCAGAAACACGGAGTTCCGGAGCCGGGGATATCTGCAGAAAGGAGAGAGAGGACACAACACAGAGCACCAAGCGACTGAATGCCCGAGAAGGAAATGTAGCCGAAGGGGAGAGTTTGTAGATAAGGGACGCAGTAGTGATTATATGGTCGCACCTGTGTTGAACTTCGGCCTCCACATTGACACTGCCATGGAGGAACACTTGATCTGTTCACAGTTAAACTGTTATAAACTGCGAGCTACATTTTAAGATGTAGAAGACGTCTACTGAAGGATTACCCAACCTTTTGGGATAGGATGTCAACTAGTGACGCAGGAGACTTGGAGCTCAGACTTGCAGAAGGAAAGAGAGCTACAGCACAGCACGAACAGCTGGAAGGTCGGTTCAGATGGCTTAAAACGTAAATTTACAGCACCTAATAGTTTAGAATCCTAGTGTTTTACTCTTTAAATGTTAGCGTTAAATGTTACTTAGTTTGTTTGCATAAGCAGCCTAAGTCGAACTCCTTTTAAAAATCTGTACATTTAATGCTGTTGTGCTTGTCTGGAAGCTCACATAGATGTCTCACAGCTAAACGAAAACCCGTTGGGATTCGAGACTTCATTTGACTAAATTCGGCATTAAGACATTTCAGTCATTCCACATTTTACACGGAACTATTTGCCATAGACTAACCTAACTGGCAGTTTAGGGAGGGGAAAACGTGTAAACGCAACTTAAATGTGTTTATGTAGTAGTAGATTAAAAAGTAATTTATTTCCTTACACTTCTTGTCGTGGGGGTTTTGGTTGTGTAGCTTGCCATTTCTGTGTAAGGTTTCGTGTGACGTACTTTTTTAATACCATAAAACCGGACGTAACGTTATTTGGGCGCTAATTAACTTAGAGATTGAATAAAGTAAATATACAATTTGATTCTGAACGCATGCTTTGGACTACGTACTGCAGGTGTTAGCCTATATATGTATTCAGTTTAATTCGGAACGAGCTTATCTGAGCCATGTGACGTTAACCTGGGCTGAAGTAAACCAGCATCAACCTGGTAAATGGTACTTTAGTGCAGTTCAGCTGTAGTGGCTTAGCAGGTGAGCTCATGCATGCACATTCAGGCTGTCATGCTCTCTGTATTCTGTCTGCACATCCTGTTGTTAATTCGCTGTAAACATGTCTCCTGTAGGCTACAGCCATCTATAGGCTGAAAGATAAACAGTTCTTCTGGAAAGTTGATAGGCACTGAAGGTGTGGCTGCAGACAGAACAAGTCTCACACTTTTGTTACCATAGTCAGTGAAAAATTGGATGGATATTAAAAATATTTAGGCTGTAAATCACTTGCTGTGGTTGGAACATTACATGGGCTTGTCACTGAGTGTACACCCATTTTGTTTCAGGCTGGATCCCTATAGTTATGTAAGTGTTAGCTGGCTTGAGTGTAGTTTATACCACACATAGGACAAATGCATCACCCAAACAGCCTTTCAAAGAAACAAATTAGTTATCTGCTCAAAAACCATCACAACAGTCAGCTAGCATAAATACTACTGTTAATGGCTGTAGTATTGACTGAAGGCTGCAGTTTAGCTTTGTCAACACAATATCAAGGTAAAAAAATGTATGAGTTTTAACTCCTAAGATGGGAATGTTTGCAATAACAGTCCACAGTCGAATTTGAATTTAGTTAAATAAATGAACTTTTGGTGTTCTTCCACCTACAGGTGTGGCATATTGCCAAAAAATGATATCTAGATTTTTGCTGATAATGATAAGAAGATGATATTTTGCACCCTTCAAAAAATGTTATTGTCAACATCCCAGGAAATATCCAGATATTTTTGTCAGTATCACACATGCCAATGCAGTATTCTATGCTGCTAGGCTGCATGATGTGATGTGTGGATTCTCAATCTGTGCTTTTGTTTTTTGTAAAGTGACATGCACAAAAATGACAGCACATTGATAAAACAATTCCGATTATTGTAGACAGTATATATCACACTTCCACCTTAATACATTTGGAAAAGTAGTCTTGTAAATTATAATTAATTTGATATTTCTTGGTCTCTGAACACACTTTCAGAATAGTGCGAAGTGTATAAAATGGGAGAAAATAGTTTAGAATTGCCATTATACTTTCCCACAGACATTTTCAAATTGTTTGCTTTTATTGACTGACCATCGGTTTAACATAAACAGAAGTAATCTTCACATTTGATAAACTGAAAGTAGAGAATGTTTGTCATGTTTAAGTGACCTAAACACTTAACCATCAAGCTTGTCAACTAATTTTATGTTGTTCAGTAAGAGTGTGGGACTAGCTCCTGTAACTGGAAGAAATAGTGTGTTGTTGTTTTTTTTTAATAGGAAATATTTTGAGCTGAAACAGTTGTCAATTAATTGATTACTCCACCAGCAGAAGATTGTGATAATCATATAAACAGTTATAAGCAAAATGCTAAGAATTCCCTGGTTCTAGGTTCTCAGATTTTGATATTTTGTGGTTTTCTTTGTTCTATATGACAATAATTGAATATATAGTGTTTGTTGGCAGGTCAATTAAAACAGCTTGAAAAAGTCAGCTGTCTCAGCTCAGAGAAATTGTGATGGTGAAGTGATTCACAGTTTTCTGGCATTTTACGATCTAGTCAATTAATGGAGAAAATAATTCAAGGATTAAATGACAATTCTTAGATGTTCTAAAAATGTCAAAATGACGTGTTGCAGTTGAGACAAAAAAACCTAGGGCAAACTAATACAAAGTCTGCTTATTCCAAGATATTATTGTCATTTGTTTTTATTTTCTTTATAATTTCCAAGGGCTGAAGTTGATATATTTTCAATTGAAATGTTTTGGGTCCAGCCAACCGTAAACTCAAAAATCTGTCGTTAGCCAATGAGTAAGCACAGATAACATTTTTGTTTAGTGGTTGGAAGAGGCATTGACTTTTATGCTTAAAAATGACTTGAAACAACTAGTCAGTTATTATTGCTGAAAGTAATGGATAAAGTGTTGTAACATGCAGCTTGTGCTGCTCCAAGTGGAGCTACCAGAAACACAAACCTGAACAAATCTATTAAAAAAGAAAAACACTTTGCAGTAATATACTGATAGGACTTAAACAATTACTTCATTGAGAGATAAAAAAGCCTGATACCAGTCACTGTAACATAAACTATGCAGTTACAGTTTGTGGGAATGTAGTTTAAACAACAGCTTAGGGCTGGGCGATATGGCCTAAAAAAAAATCCAAGATGTTTTTCACCAAAAATCCGATTTACGATTTAAATCGATTTTTTTAATCCCCTACTTAAAATAAATATGCAGATGACAAAGAAATTGTTCAAAACAAATATTACTTTATTTTGTTTTGATTTTACCTTCTGGGATAAAAGTGCAATGAGAAAGAAGCCAAAATACAAGAAGCCTGGCCCTGCCGCTGTAAACAGTGAAAACATAACATAACAAATGCCCGTGGGCAATTATTTTGCCTTTATGGTCGTCGGGAAAGTAAGCTGTTTGGATGCAGACGCTTCGTCCAGAGTCCAGTCATCATTAATGAAATGCACAATTAAACTCATATAGGGCTGCATCGTACGACTGGACCATAAATCTGTTGTTGCGGAGTAAAACGACACTCCTTCCAGCTCCCTAGTGATCCTTTGGCGTGTATTGTTATATAGCTGAGGCAAGGCAACTTCAGAAAAATATTTGCAGCTTGGTAAAACATACCTGGTGTACAAAACTTTGATCATACGGGATACCATTTAGAAATGTTTGTAAGACTGTGGGTTGTTTTTTGGCGGGTGTACTTTGGCTCCCGCTTTCTCGTTTGTTTCGTAGGGCGAGACATCTCTCCCACTCGGCAGTTTGAGGTGCTGGATTAAATTGGTCATACTGCTACCTTTGGTAGCAACAGACTTTAAACACACTTTGGAGCGGGGTGTTGTTTGTTCTGCATCTGACACGGCAAAACCGAACCAATTCCATATTACTGATGACACTGTGCCTTTTTTCTGAACGAGTTCTTCCCTGCTCGCTGCCATGCTATCTCTATGGCAAACGCACGGCGGGGCCCACTCGGAACTACGGGAGCTGAGAGGGGAGCGTCAGCGGATGTTAAAGATAAAACCGATTTTCATTCAAACAAACCGATGTAAACTACACATTCAAGTTAATCGATAAAATCGATTTGTCGCCCAGCCCTACAACAGCTTCTTATGCTCCACCATTAGGGGCCTATCACTTACTGGTTAAATTATACAGACGTTGTTACCTAACACTAGGTTTACAAGAACTTTTATTGCTGCGATGTTATAAGATTTGTTCTGTTGCCTCTGGCAAAGGCAGGAATAAAAACGCTTAGAACTAACCACATGGAAGGTGTGTTGGCCCTGGCACCAGTTGAAATGGATGGTCCTCATAGTTCTTTGCTTCTCTCTCATGTCATGTCATGTCATGTCAGGCTTTCATCATTGCCTCACAGATATTAAACTCTAATGAGGCTAAGGAGTTGCCCCCTGAAGGCAAGGTGGGTAGGGAGAGGCAGAGCTCTGTGTGACAGTCAGTTTTATTAGGAAAGGCAGAGAGAAAAATCAAAATGCTTCACTTTATGTTGACACAAACTGCCACATAAAGCATCTGGATCCTAAGTAGCAGTTTTCATCAGTTTATAATCCACTGAATTGAATTTAAAAAAAGAGAGAGTGATCCTGGAATGTGACATGACAGGCAATTGCTGTAATTTACTTTGTTATGTTTATCCAGCAAAGGTTGCTGTGACACCGTCTTTGTTCTGGTGCCATTATTGTGCTCAGCATTTGGCACATAGCGTGAGTTCAGCACTGGCGTGTAAATATACATGCGCAGGTTTTAGTGACTATCTGAGTGGGTGTGTTAGCTCTGTATTCTGGTTGTGAGAGAAAGTGGTAGAGTAAGTAGACTTGAATTAATATGTAACCACAGCTTATTTGTCCAGCACTGAAAATGATAAGACGAGGAAGAATGGCATCTGATTTTGCCTTGATTTTAGTTTTCTGCCCGCTTCAAGCAGCAAAGCAATCTTCACATATACACAAAAATAAGAACAAAATGCTTATAAACAAAATTGCAGGATAAAATACAGAAATATCCCAATTAAATAGGAGTGGGGGAATTCTCATTCTGTCACCGTGTCAAACACCTGGAAAACAAAGTGAGTTTTTAAGAGTGTGCAAAAATGGACCAGATTAGGGGAACTGCTCAAAACTATTCAATGCTGATGGACAAAAAATGGTATACAGCCCTACTTATGATTGGAAGGCCACAAGTTTGATGCTGGGAATGAACTGGATGCTTAACATTTATAGGGTGCTTGACCTCTGTTTGTACACATGGGCTATGGTGGATCATACACACGTAGCTACTGAAAATATCTCATACAATACACCATTGCCAATGCGCACCACCTCAAAAATCTGTCTATTGTGGTAGAGATATCAGCAGATAAAATATGATACTGAGCTATAAATCAAAAGGCGGATATCTAGTGTGCGACTCCTGTTAACAGCACACACTAAGGGCTGCAACCAGCTAGTTTTGTTTTTTTGCCTTGCTGGATGAGTAAAAGACTGGAGTAATTTGGTCATTATAAATAATGTAGATTAATTCATTGTAATTGTTGGGTCATTTAGGGCACAGCACGATGAAGCATCTGGTAAAGGCTTACAGCAAGAGAATAATCCTAGGGATGAAACCCCAACTGGCCGTCACCTATCAGCCAGTAGACAGGAGGGAACACACAAAAATGAGATGAATACACACACACATTTGTTTTCACTCCTTGTGAGGATTTTAAATTGACTTGCATGTAATAAATGTACACAGACATCTGACAGAAGATGTTGCAGATATAATTTCTGATACAAAAATGTCTGTATACACCAATAATCTATTTGAAGCTACAGTAGGTCACCTTTTAAAAATATTTTTTGGTTTAAATATGCTTAGAAACAGAGAGAGGTGCTGTCAAAGGGTTTTGTAACTGAGACTCATTGAACAGCCCAAGGCCTTGCCATTTTAACCAATCAGAGAATGTTAATGTGAGGTGTGTGAGCTCATGGCTTACAGACAATATGTCAACATTCTTCTGGTCTAATGCTCCACTCACACTGAGTCTTTAAACCAGTGTTGGCTTCTGGAAGAGGAACCAGTGGCAGACTCACAGGCTAGCAAATTCTGGATTGCTGGATTAGCTGAGACAGTCAAGATATCAAGGATATAGGTGAAGGGCTGAGCAGACTGGTTTGCTTCCAAATCTCATGTTAGCACTAGCTTGATTTCCAGAATCTACACATCGTAGCTTTAAACTCAAATAATTTACATTTACAGCAGTTACTAGAAAGTTATCAGCTGCTTGTATCTATTATAGCACTAAAATTTGGAACTGATAAACTAAGACAGGAGGAGGATGCACACTGTGGATATTCAGAGGTCCAGATCCAGCAGCCTGCTACAGCCAGATTCACCTCCTTTCTTTTCTTAACACTTAACAAGAAACAAAACCTCAACAAACCGGAACTAAAAAGCAAGACGAAGCCAGACTCCTATCCATACAGGTAAGCAACAAAAAGAATACATTTACTGAGAGACGTTAAAGAAATTCATTGCTGCCCTTTGTCACAGACCCATTAACATACTTAGTTTTAAAATCCATACATCAAGAATAAACAGGGTACTTGGTGTACTGTCCTACTACTGATGTTTTGGACCCACAAATTAGATTAATTACATGAATTCACAGACCACCATTTCCTCAGTTTCTACTTGGCAGTGCCCACTGAGCATGTACCAGACCATGCAGAACAGCCTGTAATCATTGACATGGGCCATAACCATTCATTAGGGACTATGGAACAATAGAGGTGCTAATCACAGTTTGATTTGATAAGATTCTTGGTGTCACAATTAGATTTTTAATCAGTTAAATAAAAAGAGAATTAATTCAAGCAAACTGGATACATCAGACCACAGTTCGGGGTGCAAGAGCAAAGGGTGTGGTAGTTTTTGTTAAAAAGAGATCAGTTTTTGATTTTTAATAAAGTTGCAAAAATTTCTAAACATATTTTCACATTATGGATTATTGATTTTGGATTCATGGGCCATAATTTCAGTTTTATCAGTTTCAAATCAACAACACAACAAAGTGTGCAAACACTGAAGGAGTCTGGAAACAGTTTGAAGCCACTGTATTAAAGAGCTCAGGGTGCTTTTCTTTGTTTTCTGACTTATCTACAGTCTTACAACTGTGAATTATCATCTTAGATGTGACCTAATGCTAAAAAAATTTGGTGTTTGTATGTTCTAGTATTTCTATGCAGAAGCAACTGGGTTTATACAAGTCTCGCAAGTTCTCGCTCACGAGACTTTATTTCTAATAATATAAAGTATTATGTGATAGTTTAAGGAGCCGTCCCTGGTAGGCTAGTGGTTAAGGCACAGTGCTCTCGCCACTGCGGCATGGGTTCGAATCAGGTTTGCATCAGGAATAGCATCCGGTGTAAAACACGTGCCAAATGTCAAAATGCAACATTCGCTGTGGCGACCCCTAAACGGGAAAAGCAGAAAATGACTGACTGATGTGATAGTTTAAGGATTTCCTTAAATGGTCATAACTTCCAGGCCATTGCACGTTCATGTGAGCTTGACTGACCTCCACCTGTGCCCCCACCATATTGGCAAAATATTTTTGTGGTTTGGATTTTGAATTTAGTTAAATACACCACAGCTCCATCCTTTTTTTGTGTATGGTTGACATAGTATTCTTTACCTGTGCTTAGGTTAAATGTGAGGCCTCGGTTTTCCGGGGAAATACTTAACCTTTTTTGGGGGTGTAGAATCTGATATGACATAATATTTGCTTTTGACATTGTGTGTGGTTGGAAGGGTTAGGGTATGTGCTGCAAATATGAGCTTCTATGCATTCCTATTTTCAATGCAGTATGTGCTAAAGATTCCAACACAGTTGTCAGTAGAGGCCATTGTTAGAACTGACTTTTCTTGGTTCAAGAGAGAACACACCTCTGCAACTGTCTGTGAGCCCTCAGCAATCTTTTCATGCCATCCAATATGGCCTTATATAGATACTGAGTGTGTGATCATGTTTGTTATAAAGTACGTGCATGTGTGAGCCGTGTGCAACCATGTTGAGCACAAAAATACCTTGTCTGTGCTTTCATAAATGGTGATAAGGTGACTTCACTGCCTATGTGACAGTGAGAAAACTGTTGAGTCCAGAGAGTGGGACAAAGCAGAGGAATGTTCACCATCCTGCTGATCAGCATTGCTGTGGCAAATGACTAACCCCTCAGATGTTTCACACCAAAACATTACAGTACAGTACTGGGTGTGTCCATGTGAAATGTGATTTTCTGAGAGCAGATATTACACTTAAAGCTTTTTTAAAAACGTTTTATTGTTGAGATACTTTTATCAGTTTTCACTGTTTATAATCTCAGCAGTAAGATAATGAAACATTTATTGTCACAGCCTGATTATCATCCTTATGTTATTTAAGGATAGTCACTTTATTAGGCCAGGTATGTTATACACACACACACACAAGGAATTTGTTTCCAGTACAGAACCGAGGCAGCCATCTGTGGCGCTAACTCACACCGATGCCGCTAACCATTGGGGGCAGCTTGGGGTTCAGTGGGGTTCTTGCCCTAGGACACAGCGGGGTGGCTGTGGCTCATGAGGTAGGGCAGTTGTCTCCTGACCAGCAAGTTGGTGGTTCAACTCCCAGTCTACCCTGCATGCCTAAGTGTCCCTGAGCAAGACACTGAACCCCGAATTGCTCCCAGTGGCTTGACTAGCGCTGTTGTGTGGCAGCCTGTTGTCATCGGTGTGTAAATGGTGTATCATCTCCTGTAAAGCGCTTTGGCCAGTGCAACACACTGTGAGAGAAGCACTGTATAAAATACAGTCCATTTACTGTGACGTGGACTGCAGGCACCATGATTCAAATCTCCAAGCCTCTGGTTGGGAGTTGACCGCTCTACCCACTAATACGCCCCATTAATAAAAGCTCTGAATCCAGCAGTAGCCAGGGTTAGATTTCCCTGGAATTTCCTAGGGAATAGTAGTGCCCTGACTGAGAATTGAACTTGGGCTGCAGACCATCAGATTGGTTTTAATGCCAATTAAGTATTTTATTGTCAATCCTAATCTTTGTTTTTCCCAACAATCTATTTGCTCTCAGGTCCCAGTATCAAACATTGCATAATTTACATCAAACTGCTGCTATGAGGCTGCTCACGTTAGGGAGCAGAAATAGTATGATTCCCTGTAGGCATGTGTGACATTGTATTAAATGCTTCAGTGGGGCACTAATGTTTCCTCCATTCAGAATACACTGTTAAGAGGGAACAGTCTTAATCTTAATCTTAACTGGTATGCCTAATGGTTTTTGTCTCGCTGCTCTCTCCTCTTTTGCTAGCTTGAATGAACCACAGAATGCTGAGACCGAGGACTGCAGCTGCCAGGTAAAAGTAATCCAGATCCACATTGACAAGACAGTGGTTATAAATGGGATTAATAAAGTTTTTGAGTCTTGTCATTTTTTCATCATAATGTAAAATTGGTCCTTGGTTAAATCCCAGTTAAAGCAAAATGTTTCCAGTAAATCCATTAATACTTAGAGTACCTAATTTAAAGCAATAATTTCAAAGATTATTAAATTCTTTTTAAAAAAAACCCACAATATAATACGTGTACTCTTGAAAGATTGATTGTTTGTGAGTTAGAGGAAGTTGATGTATGTCCTTTGAAGTGTCTCGTCTTTCAAAATAACCTGGTTATCAAGGCCCGAATCTCTTTAATAGCTACTCTATGGGAGCAAAAGCTTTAGCAAAGCTCTGGCTTCTGCCAGCATACAATTTATAGAGTAAGTCACTGTTGCATACTGACTGTGACAAGTGAAGGCTGACAAGTGAAAATCTTGTCTATTATTGTGTGGTCTGAAAATCTAAAAATTTAACATTTACTAAATAATAACTTTTGTTTAGTTTGTTTTTAATGGAAGTTGCAGTTGTTTCGGATATTGCTAATTAGTATAAACTATTTGGTTGTCTGCAACAGGTTAACAGACAAACGTCACCATCAGACAACTCCATAGAGACAGCCAGTGCCAATCCATTATTGGAGACGACATCATTTCCAGCTGAGAAGGAAGACAAGGTTATCTCAGTTTGTTATGAACTGGAGTCTGCCAGTGACTTAAGTATAAATCACAGTTTCTCAAATGGTGACTCTGGACCACAGGAGCATATCACATCCATGCACATATTTTCATGGGAGTCACAACCACAAGGGGATGTCTCTGGACTAGTACAGTTGGGAGAAGATATACAGGACCATACAAAGCTTGAGAACCAACAGGATCTTGAGGATGCTACTGTAACCATGTTGTCTTCAACTGTTGTAACAGTTCTTGCACCACACTGGAGTGGCCGACTACGACGGACCAAAAGATTTGAGGGAACTGGCAACTCAGAAGCCCAGGGGAATTTACAGGATTTGACAAACACCACAGCAAACCATGTAGATGAGTGCTTTCAGGACCCTCAAAACCAACATCAAGAGGACAGGATGTTGACAGGCGAATCGCAAACACCATCAAGGGTCTCATTTCTGGGTACCAGGAGGAATACAGTGGACTGGTCAGCAAACAGTGGTCCTGCAAGCTTGGACTATATACCTAAGAGGAAAATGACTCAAGCTGTCTCTTTGGATGTAAACTCTGGAAGGACAGACAGCAGAAAGAAAGATGCAGGTACTTTAAGCCCTGAAGCCAAAACTGCATCTTCAGTGTCTCCCCTCTCCCATGACCTAAATGAACAAAGGAAAATTTCACAAACTGGTAATCAACAAGGAGCTGTAAGCTCAAAACCAACAACTAGCAGTCTTCTACTCTCTTTAAGAAGATTCAACTCCAATGGGAGGAGCTGTAATGCAGCTTCCACTTTCTCTGATGTAAACCCTTTGTCTCTGAGCAGTACACCAGTTGATCAAGGTGGAGAATTGGTGACAGCACACACCTCTCAAACATCTTTCAATAATAATGAGCAAGACAGGCCAAAACCCCTCCTCTCTTTATCGTCCATTTGTTATAGGGCAACTGAAGCCGGTCCTGTTGTTTCCCCGTCATCCTCCAGTCACAGGGAAAGGAACACTTCTGAAAAATGCTTCTTTTCAAATTCACTCAAAGACACAGAAGACGCCCTCTTTATCCAGCAACCTACATCAGTAAGCAAAACTCAGCCTAGTGATACATGTTTAAAACATTCATTTCTAGGTAAACTACCTCCTGAGAGGCATCATACAACTATAGATTTGTTCTCAGAGAACTCAGGCTGCTTGCCCAGACATTCCCAAAATAATCAGGCTGCCCTCCTAAAAACCCACTCTCCTCCTAGAAGGGCCACTTTGGCATCCACTTCCTGGTGGAAAAAGGTTACTCAGGAAGCCAGTTCCCCTTTATCTCCTAGTGATACAACTGACATCAATGACAAGCCAAGCACACCTTTTGGTCCACCCTGTAATGATTATACTGACTTGGCCTCTTTAAGTACAACTGACAGCAAAATGTTGGGTAGTCAGATCTCTAACAGAGACAACAATAACACAACAGAGTTAGTTTGCAAAGGCAATATAAACCTTGCTATGAAAACGCAGGAAGGTACTCACAACCTCAGACAAATAAATGCAAAGGATTCACCTGACCATGAATCAGGCAGGCTTGTCAAACAGCAGTTTGGCTACAATTTAAACAACAGAGAATCACAAAAACCTCATAGTTTGCCTGATGTTTTGCCTGATGTTTTGGCAAGTTCATTGCATCAGTCTAAAGACCTCAACAAGCTTAATCAAAATAATAGTGCATTTACAGCTACCTTGCCAAATTTCAAGAGTTCAAATACACCCACTGAGAGCTACAGCAAATACAGTAATAATTATTGCTCATCCACAACCAGCTGCATCCCAGCATCTCCTCACAAGGATGCTGAAAAGTTAGCCAAACAGTCAAGCAGCAATCGAGCTACCTTTGGTCTCCCCCCAATCTCAAACACAAAGACTAGTTCCCCCTTCAGTACTCATTCACTCTCTAATCAAGCCAATATTCATACTTTATCATATGTTGGCTTTTCTTCCCAAACATCCAAATTCACCAACTCAGCCAATACCATACCTCTTGGTTTTGAAAGAAGCAGTGCCTCCATTCTCACAGCTTCTGACCCTAAAACAGTTTCCACCAAGATTCCCACTAGCAGTGCTGTTTCAAAAGCAAACTACAATCTCATATCCAGCAGCCCTCCTGCAGCCACAGCTTCCCCTGTCCCCTCTTTTACCACAATCACCATCTCCTCTTTCCAAACCCCCCCCGCAACCCCAATCATGACCAGCCACAACTCAGAAATACCTAGCTATAAGGAAGGTAGGGCATTCTCAGGCAGAACAGAAAGTGGCCCAAAGAAACTGCAGGTTGAGGGAAAGGGAGTGAGACGAGTAACGTGGGGCGACTCAGTGGATCTGCTGCATTTTGAGCCTATCACAGTGGAGAAGCCAGATCCGTCTGGAGTCCCAGCAAGTCCTCTTTCTCTCCCCAGGTCTCCCGTCAGTGTTAGAGCTCCATCAATTTTCTCATTTCTAAGATCAGACAGTCCAACCAAAACTAAATCTCCTCTTTGCTCCCCTACCCCCAAAAACTCCAACATACAGGTGGGGAAAGGAGGGAAATATCGATCCTTATCATCTGGCTCTGTAGATTTAACATCCAAACATCAAGAAATATGTAAGCAAAAAACTAGTGACAATAAGATCTTTGATCACAGAACACGGGACTTAACTACAACCAGGCAGGAGAGGACGCAATCAGTGGAGTCAGGCATATTCCAGCACTGTCCTTCTGCTCCTCTCTCCCTCCCTCCTGACTTTTCAGGTGGTTATAAAGTTCGTTATAGCTCCACGCCTTACTCCACTCTTATGTCTAGCAGGTCAACACAAGGAGAAACTAAGACTATAACACTCATATCACCCCTCTTTCAGCAAGCCTGCCAGTCAGTTTATAATCCACATCCTTCCTTACAAGGTGAACCACTTGCAGGTATGAATTTGCCCACATCCAGACCCCCTCTATTGCCTACCAGCCCACACCAGCCCTTAACACTGCCTTTTCAAAACAAAACTGTCATGCAAGAAAGTTTAAGTTGTGGGGTTTCAGAAATTGATCAGATCAATAATAATCAAAGCAAGAACAGCAGCCAAGATCACCAGAATGGCCAGATATTTCTTGTTGACAACAAAGTTCATATGAACTCTCAGCCTCTGAGGGGTGATAAGGCACACAACTCTTTCTCTGCATATGTAACTGAGACATTGATTTACAGCATTAAATCTAAAGTAGATACAGCTGCAGCTGCCACAAAGAACAATGCACTTAAATCTTTGCAACATACTGAAAACACATCGGTTTCTGTGGAGAAACAGCTGCACACAGTGCAGAGTAACGCAGTGGAAGGTAAATCACATAGTCGTTCAGATGAGAGCTGTAGCGGTAGCAGTTCAACAGAGACTAACTCTCGGGATGAAGAAGGCTGCAACCAAAGAATCAAAGAATGTGTACTGAGTAAAAGCTCTAATGAGCAAAGCCCAAAGAGAAGCCGGTTTCCCCTGAGAAAAAGCATCAGTACCCAAAACTCCAGTTTATCAAGGTCAGACTCAGACAGGACCAACAAGACTAACAACAAAATGGATCAGGTTCTTAACAGACTGAGACAAACATTCAGCAATAGACGGTCTGATGATGACCTGTTTCCATGGAAATGGAAGCGAGCCTCCCAAGCAACTGGGAGTGGATCAAATGACATCAGCAGTGTCAGTGATGTTACTGTAGAGAGTACTAAAACACTTGAGGAGTGTGAGGAAAAGAGGGGTATGGCACTGAAGGACAAAGAAACAGCGTGCACAGAGAGATGGACACAGAACAGATGTACTGTTATACCACCCCCAGTGGCAGGAGAGCAGTTCTTCATTGGGTCAGACAAATCAGCTCCCGAAACTTCCAAAGATGAACAAAATGTTTGTACAGAGAATGAGTCTGAAAATAAAACCCAAGTTCATCTGACAGGACACAGTCCAACAATGTACCAGTCTGACTTTTCCAAAGAGAGCAGGACAGATTGTAAACCAAGAAATCAGTTCCTATTATACAGAGATCCCAGTCCTGGAAGGAGCGCTAACCCATCTGGTGATTATCCTACTCGGTTAAGGTCCACATCCAGTCCCAGGAGCCCTTTCTTGTCTCTTTCGCCTCTTTCTCCATTTTCCCTGCCTGATGTAACAGACGATAGTGTCTTCTACAGCCCAAAGCTGCAGCATCGCAGGGAGTTCACTTCACCTTGTGAACCAGAAGAGAGAATCTGTCTGGGAGCTTCAAGAAGAAATCATGTATCCACTGATCCTAGGAGTGCAGGTCTAGGACAGGACAAGGAGCACTTGGCATCCTCGTATGCAGATTTAAAGTATGGCATTGAGCCTGGGAGATCAGTTTCTGTGAGTTCGGTACTCTCCAGCCGACCCTCAGGGCCTGGTCGCATCTCAACTGGATCCAAATTCATGAGTGTTGGTGACCTTTCTGAATCCTCCTTGACTTGTGGAGGTACTAGCAAAAACTTGGATCAGTGGCTTTTCACACCTGATTGGGCCACTGACTGTGACAGCCAGCACGCTGATTCCTGTAGTGGTAAAATGAGATCAAGGTCACTTCCTCGATCACTCACCAGGCGTTTGGCAAACTGGAGCTCGGGAGTGTCCATTTCTCAACCTGTAATTACCACAGCCTCAAAGCCAGCCTGCCTTTGGAGCCCTAACATGAAAAATTGTCATTTTGCATGGGATACAGGTCCCCCAACACCTCCTCCAACGCCCCCCCTCTCCCCATCATCCAGACTCATGTTCAAATGCCTTTCCTCTTCTATGGTTCCCAGCTCACCAGGAGCACAACAGCCAGTGGACAGCCAATTTTCCAGAGGGCATTTGCCTTCCAGAAGTTATGTCGCAAGCCTTAGCACCTTTGAGGAGTCATCAGACAGCAGCTCAGACACAACAACAGATGATGAATATTACTTGGAAACAGGTGAAGATGAAAAGGAGACAGAACTCTGAAAGTAGAGCAGCTGTTTAAAATAAATTTTCTCAGTGTCTTCGATCCTGGACTTAACAATATAGAAAAAGGAGCTACATCCACAAGAACAATGGTTAGCTATTAACACTCAGGTACCTTATTTGCTTGTCTTCTGCTTTCTCATTGCTATTTTATTAGAAGGGAGACACAAGGTCAGTTAGGAAGGTTTGTTTGCTTGCATCATTGGCTTTTCAAAAGTAGTGGTTGCTGTCATATTAAAGGCTTTAAATGAGCAAGCATTGTAGTATGGGTTAGGGTTAACCCAACATACCTTTAGAGATTTTTTTACAAGTATATGCAGTCATATGTACATTCACATCTGCAGTGTAAGGATAAGAATTAACTATTGTTCAGTATTAGTTTGGACAGTTGCATGACATGAATAAGAGATGTACACCTCTGCTGAAGTTTATGGTTTGATTCTGGACATAAGTTTGTTTGCCTTTCATACTGCTACCTAAGTGCTGAGGTAATGTGGATAAATCGTATATTTCATATTTCATCATCTGTGTTCTTTTGTTTGAAGATTGATTGGTAAATGTCAGTGTAATACAGACACAATTTATTTTCCTCGCCATTTTTATACAGGCATAGTGTTGCTTTAAAACAGGGGTTTTTAACCAGTGGTCTCCGGCCCCCACATGGTCCACAAAGACATTGCAGGCGGTCCCTGACCATGCATTCAGTGATGTAGTTTGTGCACACTTTTCCATGTATTAATTATTGTTTGTGAATAATCAAATTCATGCAAATACATAAAATTTAGAAAAAGCAAAGGTCACTTTTATGATTCAAATTTATTTTAATTGAGTTTATTTGGCTAAAACAAACCAAAAAAACTAACATAGTCCAATGTTTATGTACATACATACACTCGCCGGTACATGCAGCAACTCTATACATTTGGGCATCTAGACATGGTCAAGATGATCTGCTTAAGTTCAAACCAGGCATCAGAGTAGGGAAGAAAGGTGAGTTAAGTGACTGAATGTGGCATGGTTGTTGGTACCAGACAGGCTGGTATGAGCATGTAGGCAACTGCTGATTTACTGGGATTTTCACACACAGCCATCTCTAGGGTTTACAGAGAATGGTGTGAAAAAGACAAAATATTCAGTGAGTGGCAGTTCCCTAGGTGAAAATGCCTTGTTGATGCCAGAGGTCAGAGGACAATGGCCAGACTGGTTCAAGCTGAGAGAGGGGCAACAGTAACTCAAATAATGTTTTGTTACAACTGAGGTATGCAGAGGAGCATCTCTGAATGTGCAACATGTTGAACCTTGAAGCACATGAGCCACAGTAGCAGAAGACCACACAGTCGGTGACACCCCTGTCAGCTAAGAACAGGAAACTGGGGCTATAATTTGGCTCACCAAAATTGGACAATCGAAGGTTGGAAAAAAAAAAAGACCTGGTCTAATGAGTCTTGATTTCTGCTGCAGCATTCGCATGGTAAACAACATGAAAACATGAATCTATCCTGCCTTGTTCCAACGCTTCCAAGCAGGTGGTGTAATGGTGTGAGGCATATTTTCTAGGGCTGCCTCCTAATAGTTGAATAGTCCAGTCATTAAGATCATTTAGTCAACTGAGACTCTTCTAGTTGAGCCTTTGTTTTTGTTTTATTATATTTCATTTTTTGTCAGCCAGTGTGCATTATAATAGAAGGTAGCCCCAGCCTGGTAGTTTATTGTCTTCTTCTTCTCAATTTGCACAGTGCTTCCCCCTGTGGTCAGGGTGGGGGAATGCCCACTTCACTGGTGACACTGATACATGGATGTACATTGAGGTCAGATCTATTTAGCAAATTGCAGAATGAGAAGAAAAGGACAACAAACTCCACTAGAACAAGGCACAGAAAAGTGAGACTTGTACTCTAAGTGTTTTCAAACATTGTGGTCTACTTTTAAAAGAGAAAAGACTCACAATGATGTGGCTGGTTTTGCATGGCCTAATGTTGTGTGTCCAGTTTGTTTATCCATCTCTATGAAAGTGCACAGCTGTTTACAGACTGTTTCTGCAACATGCATCCATCTGAACAGGACTAGGAAGCTAACAAAAATACACGGGGAAAACATTGCAGTGAGAAATTATAAATAAGAGGAATCATTCACAGTGCAAGCTGGTACACATCAAAGGCACAGTAGCGGCATGTTCTGTAGTTAACTGATGGGAGAAGCTGAAACTTGTTGGTAAATTAGCCATGTCTCAGAAGAAAAAATGGCCTGTAAGAGTATTGTTTCAACAGAAATACAAGTGTCTCATTATTCTGACAAACCCATATGGCAGCCTGACATTATATATTGTAAATTCAATTAGGTCACAGTTTTACTCTTACATCATATGCAGCTGTCTTTTATTAATTTTTTTAATGTTCTGAAATATGTTACTGTCACTCTTTTTCATTTAAGTATTGATGTTAATGTGGTCAAAATCATCACTGAATTTCATGCCAATTGATTTTCTGACAGTCTGTATATATTTTATAATATATATTTTCCACTGAAAAGCCGACAGTCGACTGACAAAGTCTTTAGTTGGGTACAGCCCTAATATTTTCTTGGCACACTTTGGGCCCCTTAATACCAAATGCCACAGACTACCTGGGTATTGTTGCTGACCTTGTCCATCCCTTTATGACCACAGTGTAACCATCCTCTGATAGCTACTTATAGCATCATAAAGCTAAAATAATCTCAAAACTGGTTTCTTGAACATGACAATGAGTTCACTTTACTCAAATGGCCTCCACAGTCACAAGATCTCAATCCCATATAACACCTTTGGGATGTGTTGGAACAGGAGTGGATGTGCAGCTGACAAATCTGCAGCAATTGTGTGATGCTATCATGACAATATGGCAAAAGAGAGTCCAACCCAGGACTAGCAAGGTGTATCTAATAAAGTGGCCAGGTGAGTGTATATAGATACACATTTGACCAAAAGGTGTAGGCAGAAGCTACTGCTTATTTTACCTATCCTTACTGTAGATAGTACTCAAATATTACAATGTACATACAATAAAACTAAATTATCAAAAAAGAGGAAGTGGGGGGTGGATCAATAATCAACATGTTCGCTGAAAAAACTTAGAAAAAATCAACTGGACTAGATTTCTAGGTCGAGTGAAACGTCTTCGACCTAGAAATCTAGTCCAGTTAATTTTTTTTTCTACGTTTTATTCCAGCTTACTATGACCTGGATGACTGAGAATCTGCACAGACAAATCAACATGTTCCCTCAAATTTCCATTCATATATTACAGTTATATTTTCTTATGTTCATCAAGTAAGCACCCATTCGGTCTATCCACCTCACAACATTGGTCCCCATGTTACTTCTTACAACGGTGGTCCTTGGGTCATAATTAGTTGAAAGTCCCTGCTTTAAAAGGTTTTTGTACTCTGGGTTGAAATACAGTCATGATATGATTAACATTACAAAGTGCTCTACATAGTGTCTGCTCTTATTTGCACATTGATAATCTTAGAATAATATATGTTTTATAAATAAATGTAATACCTCCAAAGAGAGCCTGGTGTCTTGTGGACTTTGTTGTCAAATTGATTACACTCCTGCTGCTGTGTTGTCACACAATCTAGTCTTAACCAATATGATCACTCTCAGTGTTGTCTTCTTGTTTTCTATCACAGTATTTAGTCTATAATAGGTGAAAAGGTGTTCAGAGTATTGACAAACAAAAGATTCAGTGCCTTATTCAAGTGTGCCTGGATTTTTTTTCTTCTATATTAATCACAATGCTTTGATGCTTGGTATTTACTTTAAATATTGTTTGGTGTAGGTGGGGCTGTTAAACAGTTTCACATTATTCAAGTGGGTGTTCCCTCTAACTCCTTAGCTGGGGCAACTCGAACTGTTGTGGTGATAGGTAGGTAAATATCCATTAGACTGGGTGTAAAACCATTACTTAATGTACATTTAACATGTCATTTTCTCTTTTGTGTAAATTTGTCCAAGAGGACATAAGGAAATTGTCAAAATTCAGTTTGGCACTCATAAAAGCAGCAAGGATCGATATTTAAATGTAAGCCAAAAAAAATAAACAGAATAAAACAGTAGGCAATAAAAACAAGGACAACTAAAGTGCAGTGATTAAAAAGCAGCAACAGCACTGTGAGCAGTTCACTTAAAAATTCACAGTATAAAAGACTTAAAAGAAATATTGTCAAATCAAAATGGGTTCTATTGCACATTTTAGTCCTTATTAATGATGGTCAAGTATTAACAAGTATTAAGTATTAGTAATATAACAAAGAGTGAAAAATTTAAGGGGGTCTGGATACTCTCCGTACCCACTGTATTTACATATTTTCTTATTTATCAGAATGGAAAACACATTAATCTAAAAGTGCAGCTTGACCATTTACTGTAAGTGAAGTTACCTTGGCATTGTGAAAAGCCACAAGTGCAGCTGAGAGTTTTCTTTGTTAGGGTCATTTGTCCTCTCCAATGCAGAACGCATCGTTCTATCTGCAGACATAATAAAGAACTGTTTTACAGAATTGAGAAACATTAACTGAATAATATTATAAAAGCAATGTGACAGATTCAATCCCAGCCATAAACTAGTCAAAATGACATTATTATAACCTATTATTATTAGCTGTTCTGTATCGTGCAGGTGTCTTTTAGTAGGTTTCAATAGTTAACATCAAGTGTACTAAATGACATTAAAATGACAGCAAACATACAGTACAATGGTGTCTGATATCATAGTTACATGTAAAACATTTTAAACTGTTTTGTAACTTAACGTAATAATAAGGTTATGTATTAATAAAGTGGCGGTTCGCTCGAACACACACAGTAGTAGCTTCATGTTAGCGTTAACTTCACGTTCATGTAAAGAGCCACTTTCTCAGTGGTATCAAACGTTAAACAAAGTTTGGACACAGAAGGATAATTGTTACTTACGGTTCTTGTGGTTCAGCAACTCTAAGTTTCCCGTAGCGACAAAAGAAACAAAACAGGAGGACCATTGCTAAGGTGAAAAATGGACAGCGTTTTATGATTGGTAGTAGAAAGATGGATTTTAGCCATTTGATTGGCAACAGAAAGATGGACTCTGGCATGTGATTGGCTTAGAAAGATGGACCAGGCTATGCATGATTGGTGGTAGAAAGATAGCCATTTGATTGGCAAAGGAAAGATGGACTCTGGCATGTGATTGGCCTTTGAAAGATAGACCTGGATATGTGGTTGGCTGAATTTATACAGACTCTCGGTTGTCAGGTACGGCGCTTTGGTGCAGGAAGTAGAGTGGGTTGTCTCCTAACCGGAGGATTAGTGGTTCAATTCCCAGCTTGTCTAGTTAATATGTCGTGGTGTCCTTCAGCGAGAACCTCCAGTTGCTCCCGGAGATAACACTAATGTGTGTAGTGGTTAGAAATAAACAACATACCAGGCCAGAGGTAATAGAACAGTATGTAGTTATATATAGATATTATTTGTAAGGGTGAGCTAAGTGTTTATGTAAGCTTGATCTGTTTCTTTTCTTTTGCTCAAGCAAGAATATCTTGGGCTGTGTCCCCCTTGTTTAACTTATGGGTAAACATCCCAAGCAACTTCCTCCTTAGATGGGGAATGGACATAGCTTCAGCTTTATGTGAACGGTTTGTGTGCTGTGTTCATGTTTAGAAAAAGGAAATGTGCGCTAGGTCAATGCGACCCAGAAGTTCATGTACTAGACAATGCTCGGAAGAAGGGGTATGGAGCTGGCATGAGACTGTGTCTCTGGCTCAGGCCATAGAAGGCTGTGTAACTG